AAAGGAGGTTGGAAAAGAGGAAAAATTTACCATTGACAAAAAAGAAACAAGTTCATAATCCTTACATATTATAGAAAAAAGCCGTTACCAATCTCTTAATTATTATTATATATATATAAAAGAGAAAATTTTACTTTATCTAAAGAATTTCTTTAAATAATCAGGTAATTTTATTTCAATCCAACATGACAATTTTAGTTTAAATTTCCATTTGTAATGTGCAAATGAAGTCCTTAGTTTTTGTTTGAAATTAATTTCCTGAATTATTATTATGGTTTCCATTCTTTGGAAGATACAACAATCAATCCTAATCAAGTAAGAACATTATTATCTTATCATTTTTACTGATCAATTAATCCATTAAAGCAAAGAATAACTTTGGAGAAAAATAATAGATAGAATCATTATTTTTATTAAATAAAATTAGTCCTTAAACTTTTATAAAAATAAAACCATTGTCTTTATTTTCTTTATTTAAAATGCTTTGATAAAAGCAACTATTGGTAAAAAGGCATGTTTTATTCACCTTAGTGAGTAAGCAAAGGTTAGAACCAACATTAGTTAACTACGTAGTGAGTATTAATAAAGTATTATCCAAAAGTTAATTTTCAGTATGTGTAGCATTATTGTAATTGTGAATGCAAGGCTGTTAAACAAGCCACCTAAGTTGTTTTGTAAATAAATCAAAGAGTTTGACTAAAATAAATTGATTACAAGTGAATAAAAGGAACCTTATAGAAGCCCTTGAGCTTTGTAAAAGTGACATATTTATCTGGTACTATTAAGTGTGCTTGCAAGAAAAAGGCATTAATCAAGAATCATAATAAATTTATAAACTAATTAATTGACAGGAGTAACCCAAAAGCTAAGCTGTAATTGGCATTAACCTTGCAATATCACCATTTAACAAGAATCAGAAAACTATAAAAAGTTTATAATTATAATAATTTAGCTTTGAGAATGAAATAAAATAAAATAAAAAGATGATAAATAAATTTATAATAGATATCAAACCAGTCATTATTGATTCTTTATCTAATGTGCAAATAAAAGATATTGTTAGTAATAATTAATGGAGATAGTAATTTTCAATTAATTAATAATGAAATTTTATTCACCATTGTCAACATTTAGAGAAAAGGGTTCAATCAAGATTATCTAATGGGCTATAACCTTTTAAGTTTTTAGATTTAGAAATTGCATCATCTAAGATTCTACTTGTATGATATGCATCTGGATGTTACTTGCGAATCATCACCACTACTGCTGTAAGCATTCATTATTAATTTTATACAGTCAGACTCCTATATAGTCACACACCTCGGGACCATAGTGAAATTTCAAAATTTTGGTGACTATAGTGTTTGTGACTATACAGGACATGTTTAATTAGTACCAGGGAATTTTTCAAATTAACAAAAAAATGTGAATGTACTATGTTGTGACCAGTGTTGTGACCAGAAACTCTTTTGGCTTCCCGAAACGTTTTGGAAAATGAACTTACACTAAGCAGAAAACTAAACCTAAACATACACATAAACTACTAACCTAAACTAGTTTCAGGTGGTTTCTGTTAGTTTCTGTTTCGCGTTTTCCCTAAAACTCAGAGTTTCGGGTCACAACACTGGTTGTGATTATGTTTTGAATATAGGATGTGACTATAGTGCGCCGCATCTAAAGACATTAAATGCTGCGCCATTCTCCTAAAATTTTAATGGTGATCTTTCCTGATTTAAGAAATCGTTCAGATATGGTGCTGTGCTGATCAAGAAATCATTGTGAATTAGAAAGTTTTTGGGAGTAAGTAACGAATACACTAGAAAAAATTGTAATTATTTATTTAAAGAATTAAAGAGAACTGTTCCTCTGGCATTGAACTCGGTTTCACTTTGTAAAATTGGAAAGTTTTTTAGAAGATGTTATAGATTTATGAGTGCTTATATAGATTAGGACTTTCAGGAAAAGCTTTAATATTTGCAGCAAAAAAAAAATATAAATCTCATAGAAAATTGCCGGAATTTATGTTAATGGATATAGATATATTATCATTGAATGTTGAATGGTTGTTAGATGCATCACGTGATAAAAGCTGATCTAATTAGTTTGATAGGCATGCCGAATTTTTTAATTGGTAATAAAATTACTTAATTTTAAACCTTCATAACCTTTTATTTTACTAATTAACTTCAAAAATCTCTCTATTACATTGTTGCTTATGTTCCAAAGATTTGTAAAAATTGAGAGTTTTTTATGTACCAACAAATATTTCCAAAGTTATCAGGGTTTAAAGATTTACAAATTTTTTTGATGTCTTTAGATAAGGCGCATCATATATAGGAGTCCGACTATATAAAAATACCCTTCTTTCTCGTGACGATAGTTTATAACATGACAGGACTCTACAAATTTCATAGATAGGTCAGTAACAAAATTACTGTTTGTTATATGATTTGACCCAGGCCAAAATTAAGTTTAATATATAACTTGACACTAAGGTTTGCAATAACATTAGAAAAAAGAACATAATTTGACCCATAATATATAGTAACATATAAATTTTGAAACTGTCTAATTAAAATTACCACTCAATTGATTTGACCGATCAACTGATTATAACAATTTTATAATTTATAATATAAAAGATTTACTGTACTGTATAAAGTATTATTTATATTATAAATTTTATCTATAAAGTTTGTGGGGTCATAACATGGCATTATGCAAAATCACTAATTTTGGTTAATTTATTGTGTTTTTTTGAATGACGATTTTTTTTGGCTATTTATTTACATTATGGCGTGCAACAAACCAAAAAAGGGTTCATCGAGCCTTGTCATTCATCCAATATCTTTTTTTTCAATATTTTAGGCAATGAATCAACAAATAAAAGCGAAGAGGATGAGATATCTGATGATGATAATATAATTGTTTCTTAGCAATTCTTATTTCAAGTAAATCTATGCGCCAAAAAAAAATACGAACGCAAGTTTCTTCCTGTTGCTATACATAAAGGAAATATCAAATATTACCAATTCAATTAATCATTTAATTCATAATTCTCCATTAATAGAAGTGTAAAAAAAAAATTTTTTCTCAATATTTTTTCATCATTTCTGTATCGTAATTAAAATATCCAACAACTAATATATTTAATTCTACAAAATATCTTTATACTATGAGTATTCTAACATTCTTAATTGTTACAAGTATTCAAAAGTACTAATATTACCCTATTATTATTATTACTTTTACTATTACTATTATTACGAATATGCATTTATCGAATTCGGGAATGCTTGGCATTTTCTATAAAAGGGTAGATATTTGATAAAAAATAAATGAGATTTATTCATTCGTAAACCAAATAAAATATCAATGAAAATAAATTTGTAACATAAATTGTTTACTTAATATTGTCTCTAAACATAATTTAAATGATTCGAGTGAAAATGGAAAAAGAATTAAAGTTGGTTATATAAAAATTTCGGATGGAAAATGCCAAAAGACTCTTTGAACTTTCAAAAGCATTTTTAGCTGAAACTCCTGCATCAGAAACTCTTCAATAGGCATTTCATTATCAAATATATTGCTGAAACGGGTTCACATATTAAATCTCTTTTTTAAATTGTTAGTTTGAAACATCTAATGCCTTTTTAAAAAAACATCATTAGTTACTGTTAAAGTTACTTGTACAAACAAGTATGCAAGAACCGAATAATAACCGCTTCTTCAATTTCAGGAAATGTGGTTTGATGATTTAATATTAAGTCTGTGTTTCTGGATCTAAAACAAGATTTTATTTAGAATTGTTGTTTGAGCAACATATCATACTTAGTTACTAACTCTCCTGTGCTGGTTTGATTTGGCCAAAAGCTCTTTACAGATTCTATGATTTTCAAGAAAAAATAAATTGTTCTTTTATCAATTGAAATATTATTAATATATGTAGTTCTAAATAGATAAATAATAAAAACCAATAAATAAATAAATAAATAGCAAAATTTTATTATCCTCAACACTAGAATCTGATCTGTTATTATGTTATCAAACCCATCCGAATTTCAGTTTTAATAACCGGATATCCGTCGAGTTTCAAACATTCGACATCCATAGGATTTAAAACATCCGGACACTTGAATATCTGTTGTGTTTCCAGATATTTGACTTTATTGTTTTTGTTACGCAATAAGAATTTTTTGTATATCAAAAAAAAAAAAAAAAAAAAAATGCTTAAAAATTTCAGTTTTTTTTATATCAAGAGAAAAAATGTATATATAAAAAAAAAATACTTGGAAAGTTGTGTCAAAAAAATTTCATATTTCTTTTCAAGAAAAGAAACTTGAACACAATCAAAAAATAACCATGTCCTAGCGGAATTCTTACTTGTTTTCAAAAATCCTTCAATATTTTCAATATTATTACTTGTGGAACTTGGAAAAATATAAATTAATCATTAAGGTATTAGCTGTTAGTGGTTATAATTATATTAATTAGTTGCCTAATTTATCATAGTAGTGCTAGATGTTGAATTATTAGATTTTAAAATTATTAATATTTGCTTTAACGTTATTGCAATTTATCACTAAAAAACAAAAAAAATTAATTCGTATACATGGCACAAAAATTTGGATAAATTCAGACATCTGAATTCGGAATCTGATTATTATTATAAGTTAACCGAAATTGGTTATTATCCGAGATTTGTTTTATTTATTATTTATTCCGAAATAAATTTTGTTTGATAAATATCTCGGATATCCGAAAAATCAATTATACAGATACAAACTCTAAAAACCCCCAGGACCACTTCCTTGGATAGAATTAAGGAATGAAAAGATAACTTAACCACTAGTATCCAGAAAAAAGCAACAACGCAAATTTTGTTTTATGATGGCCAATTTAACAGAGTGTGTCTATTGGCATGATGAATATTTAAAATATTTTATTTAACAATAATTATTATACATATTTATTTGAATAATTTATACAATTACAACAATCTAAATTACTATGAATTTAGGCTTTTATATTAATATTAATGGATATCATTCTAGTTTCATGTCGTATTTTGCAGTACATTATAATCGCCACTATCATGCATACCAAAGCTCCGATTGCAAGACCGAATCCCGCTCCAAATTTTTGATTACTATTAGTTATGTCAGTCACTTGGCCAATTAAACTTGCCGCACTATCTCCATCCTTAAAAATGAGAATATCGCCTATAATCGCCAAAAGAATTACGATGGATCCAATTAGTGAAATCGCCGCCAAAACTGTTTGAATGAATACACTTGGGATACAAATGGCAATAAGGCCAATAATAATCAAGAAGATCGATACTATCAAAGCTAAAAAATAGATTCAAAATAAAAATTGATGAGTTTCATAATATTCATTCATACGTTATTGAAGAAGGCTCTCATTAAAAATATAATTACCGATAGGATGCATAGCCGCCAAAAATTTAGTACCGGAAGTTCCAATCCCATTAATCATACCACCCTTTGCACATTCCAATAAACTTTCGGGATGAAGAGGATTAGTGAAATTCGAGCCCACGCAAGAACCGTATAGCCCCAATTGTACCGTTATATTATTAATTTCATATTTCATTATAAAAATTGATTGAATAACCGTTGTACCCAAGTTGACTAGTAAGAGACACACAAACGAGATGAATACAAGAAGGTTTGCAATTATAAGTTTTGTTCTATTTGCCATTTTTATTGCTTACAAAAAAAAAAAATGTATGAAATAAAATAGTTTCTGCAAGAAAATATTGTAGATGATAACAATAAGAAAATGTGTTTTTTCAAATAATTGAAATTACAATTTAGTAAGTTCATGGAAAACAATCTTTATTTATATAATTTGATAAAATGAGAACAAATAAAACAGTACAAATGTTTTTTAATTGGTTTATTTGGATAATCGATAAGTAAAAATGATTAGATTAGAATCCATCGCCATCACTTGAGAGTTTATTTGTTCAATCTGAACATTGTAAATAAGAACAAATTGGACTTTGTCATTTTTGATTCAATGGTTAGTTTTATTTGGATTAATTAATCAGTAAAAATGGCAAGATGATAATAATTAGAATGTATCGTTGCGATTTTCAAAGAATATAAACTACAATTCAGGAAAATTAATTTCGAACGAAAAACCAACTTAAGACTTCATTTGCCCAATATGAACATTACAAAGTCGAGACTTTGAGATTTTTTGGCAATTCCCAACTAAAATTGTCAATTTGTATTGAAATGAAATTGCTTATTAATCTCGAAGGCTGAAAAAACACAGGTTCGTAACATTCTTAATGCATGAGAATGTTATGTTGAATTTGAAATTTGCATTGAATTTTAAATCCACCCCACAAAGAAAACGCGCGTGAAAGTAAACACAAAGCAACTAATTAAATTTGGTATCCCGACATAAATTCTCACGATTAGGTTTTAACTCACTACAAAAATGTTCATAAACAATTATGTTTATTGTTTGTTTATTCAAAAAACGTTCAAATTAAAAAACGAATTCAGATATTAACAAGAAGATTATATTATATATCGAAAATGAAAAGCCAAATTCAGTTCTTTCATTAGACTAATCGACATCTAGTCCACATTGTAAAAAAAAAATCTAATGCATAAAAAATCCATATATGGGAACTAATGAATATGAAAATGGAGCATATTAATATCGGATTTTCTAGGTAAAAGTGCCGATTTCTCTTAGTAATAGTAATAGTAATAGTAATAGGTGCAAGTAATAAAAAATATCGACTAAATTCATTCATAATTCTCCCATTAATGGGAATTTAACAAAATGCAGATCACTATACAATAAGGGTGGTTTCCTGCTCCTTGTTACACGATCAATGCTAATTTTATTATATATATATATAAAAAAAAATTTTTTATAAAAATGAAACAATATTAAAAATAGCAATAACAAGTATTCATCCGGTTCGAACAGTAGCTTCTACTAGCAATGACAATGGTAAAGTATTTACCCGGTTCAAGGTTGGCTTCTTCTACTAATAATGACAGACAACAACGCAACAAAGTACTTATCCACTTCAAAGGGCAATTCATCTTCATCAAAACTTTCATCAAATCCATCTGAACCAGTCGTTTCTTGAAATAGATTTAGAAAAAAAAATGCTATTCATGTGTTGACATTTTAATAATTATTTATATTAGTAATGCATAAATTTTAAAAAAAAAAACGTGTGAATTTATTATTTAGGAAATTTTCTGCACAGAGTTGATCCTGATTTCTATTACCTAATAAATATTGTACAACAAGGTACAGGAAACAGGACGGAACATTCACTCCTAATGGACATAATAATAATGGACAAAAAAAAATTTTTTTTCTCAAAAATTTTTTCACAGATTTTTTAAATAAAAACTTGTCAGTTAACTTTTTGTCCTATATATTAATAGTATTTTGAAGCTGTCGAATTGTTACTATAAGCGATTAATTGATTGTATCATAATTAAAATATTCAACCAATTATTAAATGCTATAAAATATTGTATCTTTTGTTAAATTTATGGAAAATTTATTCACTTATGCATTTATCGAGTCATTTCTGTAAAAGGAAAGGTCTCTGATAAAAAAAATAAATGAAATTTATTCATTCGTAAAACAATAAAAATAAATTTGTATATAACACAATTGTTTGCTTCATAACTAATATTGTCTGAATAAAAGTTAAATGATTGTGAATGAAATGGACAAAGAATTAAAGTTGGTTATAAAAAAATTTTGGATTAGGGTTTTTAAGAAATCCTAAAAGATTCTTTGATAAGCATTTTTAACCGAAAACAGATTCGATTACTTTTATTATTTTGTGAAGGGTTTGCTATTTCAATATATTTTTTTTATCAATATTTAAAAATTCCGTGTGGGCTGAGTTTATTTCTTTATTTATTTATAATTTTCGTGATCTTAGTCTTCTTACAACAATTAGTCACGCTTCGCTGCAAAAATTGTTTGCTTAATAGGATCTGATGAATCTTTATTATTGTTTTATCCCATCAACACGATTGTTTTCCTGCATTAAGCTTTAAATGAATTGATTATACTAACATCTAAGGGTTGAAGGTGTACGGTAACACTTGAAAGCTATTCAATATTAGTTATATTGTGTGTGGAATATAAATGCCGTCTGTAAATCGTTTGGCCATTCTACAATATGACAACTTTCCGAGTATGCAGTTGTCAAGAAATCTCTAAACATTGTAAATACTTGTAAACGCCGCAAATTATTGTAAACATTTAAAATACCTGTAAACCTTGCAAATACCTGTAAATACAGTAAACACTGTAAATGACTGTAAACACTGCAAATGACCGTAAACACCGTAAATGAAAGTAAACACCGCAAATCCTGTATAAAATTTCTATATTATTATTAGTATTATTATTATATATTGTGAGGATGCAAAGGATAGATCACATGATAAAAAACTATTGGCCGACACGTTGATAAATTCATCCTTATTTATTTCTTATATATTTATAAAACAAAAAGAAATTAATTTTTTAGAAGCGAATAAATCAGCAATCACAGACTAGTTATTGTGAATAACATTTTATGTCTAATGTATTAAAAAAAGAATAATTTTAATTTATTTATATAGTATTTCTTGGTTTATTTTTTGTTTGTTTCTTCATTTAAAAAAATTTTTAGATTTCATTTTACATTATTTATTTAACCCAAATAATAACTGGTTAATTTTATGTCAATATTTCAGACCTTGCTCGTAAGGGTAGAGACAGAAAATTAATATAAAATTATTTCTTTACAAATATTCTGTTTTGTAATGAACCTTTACAAAATTTTTTTTTTTTTTAATAAAACACTTTTGTGGTCGGAAACTAAACAGTAGGGTTTAATTGTCCGTTCGGTTATCAGAATAATATAGACTCTAAGGTTTGTGATTTGGTTTATATACACTCACCTCCCAAAAGTCATGGACCACCCCAAAAAAAAATTTTTTTATTAATATTTTGTAGAGCCACCATTACTATTAATACATTCTTGTAAAGGATGATTGAGGTTTTTTTTGTGAAAGGTAAATATTTGATATATGTAGTTAATCAGAGATGACGGAATTAATCCAGTTGCAAGGATTATGATTGAAGTTAAACTGGAATAGAAGTTGTAGTTGTTGTCTGGTTTGTGTAATTTTGGAGGATGTAGTACCAATTTGAGATTTGAGAGGTTATTGATTGTTGGATTGTTGGCCATGGAATCGAATCCAAATTAGAATTGGCTTGACAGGAAAATAGGCGGTGGTATTTTCAGATGATTGATTGCAGTAGAAACAATTAAGGTTATGTTGGAATAGTGTGAAAAATTTCAAGTCTGTATGAGAATAATGTGCCATGGTAAAAGTGTGAATTATTTTCAGTGAACATTGAATAATGGGGAGAATTTAAACAAAATTTTGTATATGATTGTTTGATGGAATTTGCTTTACCAAGATAGGTTGTGTTTGCCATTTAATCATAGTTTGTGAATTTGAGTTTATTTTTATAAAGAATGTAAAGAGTAATCAATATATTGTTGATTGAATATGGATTGGAGGGTGAAGAAGGATTTATGCAAACTATTTCAGTTGATGCTGATTTAGCTAAGTTATCAACTAAATGTCATTCAAGCATTAATGAAGTTGAAGTCGAACGAAATTCATTGAATTTCATTGCAAAACTTTGAGCTTAGAACAACATTAAAATTTTTCTGTTCTTAAAATTAATTTGGCCTTGACTCAATCCCCAAAATCTCGATTTTTAATTGCATCTGACTACACTCGTCAAAAAGTCATCTGATTGAGTCGAGTGATCAGCCTATTTCTATAGTAATAGCACTAAATAGATTTTTACATAGTAAGATCATAGAACTTTAGAACTTTTTTACTATTAATAAATTTAAAAAAAATCTCTTTACCGTTATAACTTAAGTCTTATAGAATAAAACTGCTGTGAATTTTTCACTCTAGTATGTTTGATTAATGGGCCTCTCATTATGTGAATCATTATTTGATTTTTTTTGAAATTAAAAATATCAAATTGCTCATTTATAATGTTCAGGTTGAGCAAAATAAAGTCATAAGTTGGTTTTCGTTCGAAATGGGTACCACAAGTGATAACAATGGATTCTAATCAAATCATTATCTTTCATTCCTACTGATAAATTAATCCAAATATTTACGGTTTATGATCGACATGGTCATATGACTCATGTATTTTGAGTAGATCACGAGAAGTTCATTCATTTTATTTCAAACTTTTTTGAATGTTATAAGTCATAAAAAAGTCACCCGTTATGGCATTTTTTTACTCATTGTTCAAACCAAAACTTTACCTGTATATAATGCGATATTGTATCTATTTATTTTGTTATGAAACTTTACGTTTATATTTATATATAAAATTTAAAAAATTTTTGTGCGTGAAAAATGAAATTTATGTGAATTTCAAATTCACATGTGAAATTCAAATCAGCCAATCAGAATTCAGAATTTTAAAATTGTAATTCCTTTTATCGGAAAAATTTTCTATATCATGAAAAATTTTTCAAGAAATTTTATATGACATGTATAAAATGGTCCCTTATAACCTAAAACTTTTCTAATAAAAAGAAAAAAGAAAATCGATGGAAATGAAATGAAATCTAGGCCTTTATCTTTAATTCTATGGGGTTAATTTTTTCTTTTTCTCTTTTAATAAGGAGTCACAAGCTTTTAAAGTCATGTGATAATCATTGATGTTCCGCACTATATAGATTTCAATTTCAATTTCACATACAACAATATTAGTATGAACGATTTCAAAAATTTGTTGACTATGTAAGTATGTTGCACTGCCCCCATTCTTAATTAAAAATGTTTGTGCGCTTGTACAATTCTCATTTATCAAATTATATAAATAAAGGTTATTTACCATGAATTTACTGAAATAGTAATTTTAATTCCTTGAAAAACTCACTTTTCTTATCATCATCATCATCTATAATATTTTCTCGCTGCAACTATTTTATTTCATACACTTTTATAGATAATAAAAATGTCTAGTAAATTAGCAATTACATTGGGAACCGTTTTTGCATCCATCTCGTTTGTGTTTCTCCTACTGGTGAACTTGGGTACAAATGTTATTCGATCAATTTACGTAATGCAATACGCAGCCAGTAACATAACGGCACAATTGGGTATATACGGTTCTTGCGTGGGATCGAATTTCACTGGTCCTCTTCATCCCGAAATTTTATTGGGATGTGCAAAGAGTGGTCTCATTAATGAAATTGGAACTTCCGGTACTAAATTTTTGGCAGCTATGCATCTTGTTGGTAATTATATTTTTTAATGGGGTCTTCTTCAATAACGTATGAATAAAATATTATATAAATAGTTAATGTTTATTTGAATCTATTTTTAGCTTTGATAGTATCAACCTTGTTGGTTATTGTTGGCTTTATTGCCATTTGCGTACCAAATATATTGATGCAAACTATTTTGGCCACAATTTCAATATTTGGATCTATCGTGATTATTTTGGCGATTATAGGCGATATTCTCGTTTTTAAGGATAACGAGAATGCAGAAATTTTGATTGGTGAATTGGATGACTCAATAAGTAGTAAAAACTTTGGAGTGGGATTCGGTCTCACAATCGGAGCTTTGGCATGCACGCTCATAGCGATTGTACTATTCATAAAGAGTCTACATAAAACTAAAAAAGTCACTAATGTAAAAGCCTAAATTCATAGTAATATTTATATTGTTACAATTACCGGATATTCAAAAAATATCTATAATAATTATTGTTAAATAAAATATTTTACGTGCCAATAAGCACAAACTTTATTAAATTAGTCATATTAAAATAAAATTCACGGGTTGCTTTTTTTTTCAGGGTGCTATTGGTCGGATCCAATGCCTCAAAAGGCAACGACTACCAATACTAATGATTAAGCCATTTTTTCATTCCTTGATTCTATCCAAGAAAAGTAATCATAGGGTTTTTTTTATGTCTATGAAAAATATTGTGAGAAGATAATAAAACCTTTTATTTATTTCACCCGATCCGTGATTTAAAATTCCATGTTTTCATCAATAACATATTACATTTGTGGAAAAGACGGAATTTGCTACTATTACTATTACTATTGGAAATTCGCGATTCAAATAACGGATTATTCTTTTATAGTAATCATGTTTAATTAGTGAAATGATCAACATTTCTATTATCGATTTAATGTAAAAATCCACGAGTATAGACTATTTAATGATAATTATATTAATTCATATATTTATGAGTTCTAAGCTTACCGAAATCTATAATGCTTTCTTTTCTTCATATGAATGTATAATGTTTTTCTTTTCTTCGTATGAATGTATAATTTATTTCTTTTCTTTTGTATGAAAAAAATATAAATTTCAATGTAACATACATGTGTGTTACATTATTATTATTATTTGAAATTTTTCTCACGTGCACATAAAAACATTTTATTATTATGTAACAAAAGTATAGTAAAACTTTTTTTATGTAATGCAAAGGTAGTCGATTAGTCATTTTCTCGAATTAATTCATCAACTAACATTCCAATAAATAAAAATCATCCTTAAAAATACTTTATTAAAAAAAAAAAAAAACCGTTGTTTTGATTTTCTCATTTAACTAGTTTAGGTTAGTAGTTTATGCCTAGGTTTAGTTTTAGTTTTAGTTTTCTGCTTAGTATTAGTGTAAGTTCATTTTCCGAAACGTTTCGGGAAGCCAAAAGAGTTTCTGGTCACAACACTGGTTGAAATTAAATAGCTCTTCTTAAATGTAAAATAAATAAAACTTTTTATTCTTACCAAATAGTTCTCTTCGGTTGGAAAAAAAAATATATTGTTATTGCACGATAAACGTTCATCACGTGGAAAAAAGATCAAAGAAAGAATAAAGAATAAAGAATCACGTAGATCGATTTCAGAAAAATAAAAATTCTTTCCCAAAAAATTAGGTTTGAAAAAAATAGAATTTTACTGGTTCATTGATCATGTCTCTCCTCACCTTGCAAAGCATTGCATACAACGCTTGCAATTGTTTTGTTTTGCATCTATTAAGAAACGAAACATTTGCCGTACGACACAAATATGGTGAAAACATTGATCGCGCCAATAGCCGAAAAAATCAAGCGCGGCTAAACGCAAAAGGAGACAATCGGCGAGAAACCTGCACGAAGGTCGCTCGTCTTACTGATTTTGGAAGGTGGTGGTGACACGGCAAATGTTTCGTTTCTTACTTGTGTTAATTATTTAATTAATAAGAATTCCGCACATCTTATTATTATCTCTTGACCTTCGAAATCCTTAACTACTCTATATATGTATTGAAATAATATTACGTATTACTTCCAAGCTGCAGTGCAAACGGGTCTGTTTGTTGTATATTACTTACTGAGGCCAAGTTTTTGATGTTGGCGTTGATGGCAATGAAAATTTAATCATATATTGTTGCTATTATAACTATAGTAAATACGTGCTGAATATCTTTACCTATAAAAGAATTAGCATTACCTCTTGTACGAAATTAACTATTTCTGTATATATAAAAGAAAATCCATTGAAATAAGGGGAAAATCAGAAAATATGTGTCACATAACATTACGAGTGTCGCAGTTAGAAATTGCACATATTCTGGTCCAATTAATTGTATATAGGATAATAAAGAAATATTTTTTTCCAAGACTGGGAGGATTTTTATTCGACCGTGATAGAAAATTCAAGGATCAGCCAAAGGAAACTTATTAAGGAAGTTGCACAAATCTTTTAAAATTCGTGTGATTGAAGAAATCTGCGCCACCAAAAGAAATGAGGTCGCGCCGAGACTCGAACTCGGATCACAAGATTCAGAGTCTTGGGTGCTAACCATTACACCACGCAACCATTTTTAATATTGTCACTTTATTGAAATTTTACTTAAAACATTATTTATTATTTTTTGGAAAAAGTGTGATGATTAAAAAGATCTCATTACGTTTATTTATGAAATAAGTTTCCAAAAATATTTGAATAATTGTCTTGTTGAATAAAACATCCATCTTAACATTTTAAAATAAATTGCAAGACAAATTGATATCATGAAATTGATTACTCCAATTGTGAACAATGTCATAATACCAATTCCAATCGTTAGACTATTAACCATGATATAAGTAAAAAGCCCTATAATAATTAATATTTAATCAATCGATCGGTTTATAATATTAACATACTAATAAAAACGATAAAATTTGCCTATATACATACATATATTAAAGGTAACAATCAAAGATCCAATCGACCAAATAAAGAATATGAATAAAGGGAAGGCAAAAAACACACTCCAAACAAATGCTAAATCAGTTAACGTCTGATATCTGGTTGAGGTTTGATAAGCATAATTTGTAAATTGAAACAACCAAGTTGGCATAAATTTCGAATACATTTTAAAATGAGAAAAATGAATTATGTTGATGATAAAGTTTTATATTTATATGTGCGCATGAAATGTTGCCATAGTACATCCAAGAATTACGAAATGGTTATTTTTATAAATAAAATTTTTGAATGTGATCTGATAGAGGGTATCGACAGTGATTGTTATTTAATAATTATAAAGATTTTTCAATATAAACTATTTGGGAGCAGACTTGTCATTGGCCAATAAAAATTCGTGTTCTGAATTCGCAGTATTTAATTAATGCCAATTTAGAACAAAAAAAATCCTTTGTCTTTTGACAACAAATAATAAATATATTACAAAATTAGATTTAATAATTAATTATTGAGAATTAAATTACTAAATTGTCTATAAAACGTCTATATAAAAATCATCTTGAAATAAATAATTAGTTAAGTTGACTCTGTCGACTGATTTGATTGATTTTATTAATTGATAGATTCTTATCAGGCCTGAAATAACTAACATACCAACAACCAGTCCCGACAATTAAACATCCAATACATATAATTGATTTTATGTAATTTTTAATGGTTTTTGCATCTTCTTGACAAACAGCATTGGGTGTAAGATGTGTTGGTTGCATATCTAATTCGATTGCATTACCAATAATTATAAATATTGCCGAACATACAAGTATGACTGTTAATACAATCCAAACTTTGAATGGCCGAAGAATTTCTGGTTCTTTGTATCTAAGCCACTGTTTTATTAGATAACAATAATATTATCGATGAGTATCGATTGTGATATAAAGAAAAAAAAAGATGATTTATTTACACTTACCAATAAACCAACACTAGCAAGAAAGTAAAAAATCCATGCAAAATATGTGGCAAAATCTGATAGTAATTTGAATGCATCAGAAGAGAATGCTCCTCCAAGAATAACAAATACCATCACACACCAGACAAATTGTACTAGAAGTGCATTGTATGGTGTATATCTTTTATGATGCTATTTTCTTAAAAATCCAGAAAAAATTGGAATGAAATTGTCTTTTGAAGCCTCAACCATAACACGTGATCCACTGCGTAATCACAATAACAAAATTTCTTGTTAGATATATTTCTGCAAGAGAAAATATGTAAAAATTTAAGCATACAAACCTCCACGTCATGGAAGATACGGCACCAAAAGCAGATAAAGCAACAAAGAAAGATAATACTCTTGCAAAATCTTCACCGCCTATTTCTTTAGCAAAAGTACCCGCTATCAATTCATTAAAATCTTTTCCAGGTTTATTTACATCCTCAGACTTCACAACTGTGATGAAGGCAACATTTGTAAGAGCATCTATAAACATAAACACGCACATATAAATCCCATTTTATGAATTTTATGAATATAATCAAAACTGATTTTAATTAGTTGAAATATTAAAAAAAATCCTACATAATATAGTCACAACAGTAACGCTAAGACTATTACTGTATACCAATTTCCCTTTGGGGTCTTTGAATTCATCCAAAGAGTCTTTTTAATAATCAATAAATTGTAATATGCTGATTAGAATAAATTAACGAGCAGATAAGTGAAAAAATATTAATATAAAAGACACCAACAATTCAAATTGTTCCAACCATTGTATGCAAAAAAAACCTTTTCAAACAAAAAAGGTAAAAATCTTTTCCAAATTTAAAAGCAAAAAAAAAACAAATTAATATATTTAACATACTGAAATCAAAGCGCTGGCAAGATTTGGTAATTTAAGATTTTCTATATCTTGAAATGGATTTTGCCAATTTGGTTTACTGATATCTGTTCTAATAAGTTGAACAAATCCAATAATTATTATGACGATCAAAGTTAACATTTTAACTACTGCTAATGCTTGGTTGATTTTATTGGCCAACCCATTTGAAAGCATATGATAAAGCGTGATAATCGCCAACGCCGCTATTCCAATAATTTTTAAGATCCTATAATAATAATTATCAATAACATATACACTCAATCTCAAATACAATAAAAATAAATTACTCACCAAAAATTTAACCCCCATTCATTATTTGGATTTAATCGTTGATGAAATTGGTATAATTCTTGACAATAGTTTTCTGCATTTGTATCTTTAGGAGGATGTGGTATAATAGCAAACAGAAAGTATTGTGCTACTGTCTGTAATGCCGCTCCTAAAGATGCGGGTCTTATCGCACTAAACATTATTGAAGAAAAAAATCAGAATTAAATGATATGTAATATCTGTACATGTACTCTATTACTATATATCTAAATTTACCAAATCCAGGCAAAACTAAAAAGATAACTCGCAAGCAATCTTGGTTCAGGAAATGCTTTCTTGAAAAAACCAGTTTCACCGCCACTTTCTAAAGTTATTGTTCCAAACTTTTTAGATTAATTTAAATTAATATTTTAATTGTATTATTGTTATCTCACGTTATGTATATAGTTTACCTCGACATAAGTTAATGACCCACATGAACTTATGAACCCACCAAATATCCATAAAATCAATGCAATACCAGGCGAATCAACCTTTGTAAAAAAATTTTTGCATATAAATTAATCAAGAGCTTTGAAGTTTAGCTTTTTAAATAAAATACTAAAAAATCCTAATTATGTACTGTTTGCCAAACAATTCCAGGTGTTGAATAGATGCCTAAAATTTAAAAGGTTTGATTGAATATTAATGGTTGATAATAGATGATAGACAATTCATGAAAACTTAGAATACTAACAGATCCTAGCATGTTATTGACATTCCCTGCAAAGCCAGCAAAAGTTGTTAATATTTTTTGGTTAGATTCTTCTGATCCAGAATGCAGCTTTTCATTTATGCTAGATGATGATGCAGATGATTCATTACTATGAACACTTGAAATATCACTACTATTTGACATGATTTAATTTCTTGAATGTTCTGATAAATTTGACTTTTTAAAAAAATAATTGAATACTTTTGTTTGTAATTATTATTACTACTATTACTATTACTATTACTACTATTATTATTAAGTTATTTTTTTTAAAAAAAAAAAAATCATTAAAATACAGAATTCATAAAACAAAACTAAAAGGTTCCACTTTAATTTGACATTTAGTATCCTAATGTTACATCGCATAATAAAAATTATTTTACGTGTTTTCTCGATATCAAAGAAACTTATCAATTATTATTGCACCAATAAAAGGAAGGGTAATAATAAATAGCCGTATTAAGAAATAAATCCCTGTCAAAGTGCTGCGTATAATAGTAATACTTATTTTGCTGGTAAATATTTCCGATTTTCTTTCTGACAATCATTTTTTCACCCAATCCAAGGATCTACATTCTCAAAATATGAGGTTCAACCTTTAACAGGGGTGTCTGGTGGTTTGGTGGTTATGTGCAACCCCAATTTTTAATTAGTAGATTTGGTGATGGTTTACCGTAAAAGGTTTAACCTTAGGATCGACGTCTCAAATACATATTAATATGTAAACTCGATAAGTCGGTCATGTCGGGGCGGACTCCTGCGACCGACTTATCAGTCGTGTGACATGTCCTTTCAAATTATTTTCTATATTAAATAAAAAATTTCTAATTCGTGTCACATGAAGGTTTTTTAAAATATCTCGTTATTTTTATAATAAACTCCAACTTCGTTGTTAGAGTAAAATGAAATTATTACATTAAAGCTTTCTAATGAATACTCTTTCATATCGAAAGGTCTTATCTATATAAATCTACGGCTATTCAAAAATGGTGTCACTTTTTCACTTCAAGGCTCAGATTATTTTTCAATATCGCTTTAAAAGACCTGATAGTGACTGAAGAGGTGTAAAATACTCTAAGCTTTCATATGGTCATTACTTTATGGGGGGTGTTTGTTAATAAGTTTTAGAGAGGTTCGCGAAAAACTATTTTATAGAAATTAATAGCATGTCAAGAATTTTATGCAGATTGGATTCAAAAAAAGTTTTTTAAAAAAAGAAACCAAGTTTACAATCTATTATTTTATGAAAGTAAGTAATAAATATTATAGGAAAAAATGAATAACTATATTATAAAGAATTATTGTTTATATATTTATTTATCTGGGAGAGAATGTAATTATTAATATTAAAATCTCAATTTGTCTAGGAGAGTGGCATTATTAATATTAAAAGGTATTATTTATCTCAATTAACCTAGGAGATTTTCTTTTTCCAAAGGTTAATGGTTAAATCAGAAAGAATTGTTATGTGGCCATATTTAGTGATGTATGATCAGAAAGAATTGCACGACTGTATTTTATTTATTATATCTATTATACTATTAATTATTCATTACTTTTTTTTAGATCTAGCAGTGTACGATCAGAAAGAACTGTTACGCGATCATATTATATTTATTATTAATTATTTATAGATAGAAAATTCAACATCAAAATTCTAGTTGATACATTCTTGTAATAACAATTATACTAGAGGCAATCAAATTAGTTATTATTATAAATTAAAAGGTATTTATTTATTTATCAAATATTTAAATAATGGTTTATTGTTACGCGAATACCAAAGTAATAACTTGACATTCATTGTTACGCGGCCATCAACATATTATTATTATCTTCATTACAATTAATGGTGTATTATTGTTTCTAATATGTAAAAAAATAATGTGAAAAAAAGAAAAATATTAATATATATGAATGAATGAATGAATTTATTTACAAATAAAAAAAATTCTTTTTACTCGAATGATTAAAAATCCACCTTTGAACAATTTAATAATAATAGCACCTGGTGCCTACCAATAACATGGTCATGGTCTGTCAAGTAAAAATTTCAATAATTATTGACTATAAGAATTAATAATTAAATTTGTTACAATCACGTTACTAGTGAGAACAAGGTTTGATTGTATATAGTATTGATCCAATACTTTCTTCCAGGGATTCATGAATTGAGATTAGTTAGCCTTTGACATTTCAATTTTTATTATCATCAAATCTATTAAATAAACTCATACAACACCTCTCTATCTGTAATTCTTGTATCTGATTAATTCCATCAACTCCTTATATCAGTATGATTTATTGCTTATAAAAAATCTTGATCATTTTTCACACCATAATAAAGTTTTACTATGAAATGTTTTGTCTCTACAATTATTTTAAAAAAAAAAATTTATTCATATATTAATATTAGTATAACCATACTTTGTATAAAATAAATGATAGTATAAAGACATACCTTAGAAAGCAAAATGAACGCGATTCTGTAATATTTATAATAATAATATTTAGGCATTTTAATTTATCTTTGTACGCACTAACAAATTCCTATATATATGAATACAAACTCAAAATTTGACTTTAAGGCTGAGATTATTTTCGGTTTTATTAACAACTTGCTTCAAAAATTTTTTTAAAGCAGATACATATGACGAAGAAGTTATATATCAAATTTGGTGGCAATTGCTACACAGCAAGGGTATCAAACGAGGGTATGAAGACATTCAATTCGAAATTTTATTAATAAAAAATTGTGTAGATCACCGGAAATTTTTCGGAAAATAAACTTGCCCCTTGATTTTTAGGACATGTCACACGACTACTACCAAAATCTATAAATTAATTGTAAATTCCGCCAGAAATTTAAAATTTGATTGGATGATAATGTTACATATGTTTGTTTAAATCAAGTGACTTAATATACCATGTGTCTCCAAAATATTGCATTTTTTTTTCCTTCAAATTATTACTACCACGACGCAGTAATTTGCAGTGACTAATATTAAGCGTCTTTGCACCATTACTATCACTATCACTATCACTATACATCGAAAAAATTTTTTTTTTATTTGATTGTAAACAAACTCTTGTTATGTGATGTGACAAAGTAGCTCGGCAATCTGCAGTTTTTTGTAATGGTGGATGTTTATAATAATTTTGTTTGATTCTTTGTGTTAAAAATTTTAATTTTTTATTTTTTATATAACTATTAAAATTTGTTTCTATATATGAATGTTTCATTTTGCTTCTTTAATTTTATTTTCAACAATCGTCTTCATTGTATAATAATAATGTTTACTCCTTCATTGGATGGGCGGATTTGACTTTCCCAAATAAAGATATTTATTGCCACAAAATATTAATAAATTAAATTTTTTTCTCTTTTTTTTTTCAAAACATATTAATATATATATATATATATATATGCTAAACATAATTTCCACGATAATCTTTTAAACTCATCTTTTAATCTTGGTATAAATTCTTAAAATTTATCAGAATCTGATGTTTTGAATACATCATCATATTTTTATGATAATTATACTTTGTAATTTTCATTGACACTTTTTTCCACACAAAAAAATAAAAATAATCGATGATTATTAGTAATTTATAAATTATAAAATATATGATCAATTTAATTTTTACCTTGTACTTTACAATTTTATAAAATAACAACACCCACCATTTGAAAATGTCGAAGCTTCCCAGTGATTGTTTATCAGAAATATTTTCTTATCTAGAGAATGATATGAGCACTTTACATAGTTGTATATTAGTTAATAGATTATGGTGTGAGATAGCAATAAAATATTTATGGAAACAACCATTTGATCTAACCGTTAAAACATCAATGAATTCAATATCAAAATTTCCTAATATTTCGTTTAAAAGTTCATTAAAGTTTATAAAATTAACATCCACATTATTTCAGTGTATAGTTTACAATAACAATAAAAATAAAAGAAATAGTAGTCGTGGTAGTCGTGGTAGTAGTAGTAGTAGTAGTAGCAGTAGTGATGGTAGTAGTAGTAGCAGCAGCAGCAAAAATTGTGATGGATCTTTAACAACAATATTTGATTATATTTCTTTTATTAGGTATTTAAACTTTCGTAATTTAATGATTGTGATTGCAATATGGGCGAATTGCACTGAAAAAAATCCATCATTGGTTGATCAAGAGGTGGTTGCAGAGATATTGGAAAGAAGGGTTACAAGAGAATTTATAAGATCTTCCTCAAGCTATTTGAATAATGAGTGTATATTAAGTAAGTTAATTGATAATGTGGGCAGATTAGTTATATTACAAATAAAAAAATTGGATTCAATCTCAATGTTTACAACCAACAACAACACCAAATCATTTTTTTGGAATCTCTACGATAATCTACATGTTTGCTATCCGGAAATTAGCAATAGATGTTTTTCATACATCAACAGGTTTGAATGGACAGCTGGAAATCAAGGAACAAAATTCTTGGCAAATCTTTGCAATACTTCACATAATATAAAAGTGATCAAGATTGATTGGGATGATAAATGGTTTGCTAGGGATGATGAAAATTTAGATAAAAAAAATGATGATTTGCTGGTGAATCTGATTAAAAATCAACATGCATTGGAAGAATTTCATTTTTTCTTTAATATACAAAAAAACATTCCAAAAATAATTGAAGGGCTTCACCACCAATCAAGCCATTTAAGAAGGGTGGTTCTAAAAAGAAACAGGATTTATGATAAAGCATATATGACAAAAATTTTAAATTTGGAGGGATTGGAGGATTTGACTATTAAATATTGCTGGCTTGAATCAGGAGAAAGTATTTGGCCAGTACAAAAGAAATTGCATTTTTTGGTGAAATTTAAATTTGTTTTAAATTATCCCAACCTTTTTATCAAACCGATTCATAAACCAAATATTTTCACCGAAGATAATGCCGAAGATGATGTTGATGTCGATGATGTTAATGATGTTGATGATGTTGTTACAAAAGATTATTACAAATCATCAATGCTGAAAGAATTTATTTATGATGAGAATTATTTTAGAGTGGACTTTGAAAGTATTGCATTGTATATTTCAACACATTTTAAAAACTTGGTTTATTTGGATTTATATATTTACATTAGAGTTTCTTCATTATCAGAAATATTATTATCATGTAAAAAGCTTGAAAAAATCATTATCAAAGATAGGAATTGGTCACAACACTGGCATGATGAAAATAATCAGAACCTAGATAAATTGATGCAAGAAATGGTTTTAACAAATTTGAAACATTTAGAACTGAAGGGAGTTTTCCATTTTACAGCAACATCGTTAGATATTTTTTTGAGAAAATCAAATCCACCACTTGAAGTGATGGAAATAATTGGTTCCTATTGTTTTGGAAATGATCATATTGAGGTTTTGTTAGAATTGCTAAATGTAAAGCTGCATAAACTTCATATAACAACGACGATATGTCCAAAAAGGAATATAAAATCGAGAGCAAATAAAATCATTAGAGACTTTAAATATGTATATATCAAACCAAAGAAAACCGACACAAGACTTCTTTACATCAACCAACAATATCCTAATACTAGATCTAGAAAAAAACTTGAAGTTGGTTTGATAAATTGACGGATGATATAGGGTGGAAAGGAATTTATTATATTGTTGTCTACATTATTTGCAAAATCTTTACAATTTTCCGAATGTATTATTGGTGGATTAATTGGTCTGGCTGAGTTAATTAATTGGAGATTTATTTTATTTAATTTAATTAATTTTACAAATAACAATAACAATAAAATAAATTTTATATTATAAAATATTAAAAAGTATATTTATTATGTCCAAAAATTTTGAAATTTGAATTTTATTTGGTTTTTATTATTCTCAATTTACCAGGAGAATACTTGTAATTATCAGAATAGGATTTTTTATGAAATTCAACTTCACGATTTTCTTGAATAAAATATTCCCAACCTTGTTTTTCAGCAAAACGAATTGCATCTTCTTTTGATCTAAATTTCAATTGTAAAGCCTGTACTGAATCAGCACTAAAAAAGATATATTATTTAACAATGAGTAATTTTGATAATTGTGAATAATAATAATAAACATAAATATAATATATATTCATTTACTTACCTGCTAGACCATCCCATTAACGGATTTTCCCATTTGGATCCACCTTCCAAAATATCAAAATCGATTCTCCAATGTTTTGAATTATGAGTGCCTGATTGTGCCGCGGATGGGGCAGGTTTAAAAATTTTTACGGTTCGTGATTTAATTTCCTCTAAAATTCACATTAAATAATGAATATAAATATATAAATAGTAAAGGTTATAAATAATATATAATCAATAATACCTGGTACACCCGAAACAACATCTGCAGGTATTATATTTGATTCAGTTGATCTTGATGTGATTGCTTCATCTTCTTTTGAATCAGTAGTATTGGTGTTTTTGGTTGTAGCTGTATCGTTTATTGAAATAGAAACATTGCTAGAATTAAATCTTTGAAAGACTTTAAATGTAGAAGGAAGTGAAGGACGTACAAATAACAATGGATTTTTAGAAATAAATAGGGTTGATGACATGATTAAAATTTTCTTGTAATATTAGAAATTGCTTGGAACCGGTCGGTACTACATCCTTTTTTGTTTAGAAGCGATAATCATTCGCTGATTTTTTTTTTTGGAAATCTCTTCTCCGCTTAAGCATAATGGGAGCGGAGATGAGCTAGCTAGCAAAAAATCAAACCCTAATTTTTTGTTTTTGTTGGGATGATGATAAATCTCAAAATTTTTTTACTTTTACCTTTTCCACGTGATAAACGTCTCTTACCATTTATTTATTTATCATGCAAATAATAAAACCTTTTTTCTAAGCAAACAGAGATTTATTTAATTTAAATGTTTGATTATCATGATAAACATCATTACTGACTGGTACGGTTTTTTTTTTGGTTAACAAATTTACAATCGAGAATGCAACGTAAGCCTTTTGCCTTTTATTTGTATTTATTATTATCGTATATTTAGATCCAAGACAGTAATAGTCTATTTTTACTAAATTCGAAACATATAAATAGAATAGCCGCCCCCACATTTTTTCATAACACCAACATAGAAATATTTCAAGTTTAACTGTGAATCATGTTATTATTTAATGATTAAATTGTTAACATGAATAACAAAAAATCACACATACGGTATGAAGAGACGAATTTTAGTAAATTTAATCACATTTGAGAAATAGATAGCTAAAAAGTGAAGAGCTTCTCAATGGATACATATAATCAATGAAAATAATGAAAAGAAGTGATTGTTAAATATAAATGATTTGTATATAATAATAAAGAACATAATACCTAGCGGATAAGAAGGCTCATCCACACCAAATCTGTTTCAAACCTTCCACCCATCATCATCTAATAAAAATAGAAAATAAAAATAAAAAAGCTACATATTGCCAAAGATTAATTTTCATGCAAAATTGGTGATAAATTACATATCGCATTTTTACTAATTAATGCTTAACTGGAATTGAATTTTTTAAACATAATATTAATATTAATATCAAAGAAATCCGTAATTATTAAAAATTCGAATAAATGTCATATCAAGAAGAATTTTATTATCATTAAACCATTCTTAGACCTCAATCCATTAGCATTCATTAAATGGAGGTACACTAATTGAGATTCACTGTGTAATATAAATTTAATATGACGTTAAAAAAATTTTAGGAATCCAGTTTGATTTGATTCGAATCGAATCCTGTTTTTTTTTGAATTTGAATCAAATCGAATTGACTACAGATCTAATCGAATCAAATCGAAACACTCTCAAATTCGATTCGATTCGATTCGTTCGGAGTCTTACTTGAGTCATAGGAGACGGATTATTAGGATAAGAATTTTGGGCCATTTCATTCATACCACACCTTTGTGTTTTGATTTTGTGGTTTTATCAGCCAATACATAATGGTAAAGTTTAGAGCGAATTTGGTATGATTTTGCAATTACATTATTAGGAAATTCATCTTTGAATAATCCAATAACTTTAGAATTATTAAGATCAAATAAATCTGGCCTTTCTGCCATATCCTTATAAATATCCTCAGTTTCAGTCATAAATATAAAAGAATCTGTAGCCATATAACCAAGAATGGCTTTATTGGCTTATTAAGAGTTACCTCTTGTTTGCCTAAGTGGACTCCTACTAATTCTTCAGATAATTGGCAGGCATATTTAAATGATGGTTTATTTACTTTTTTTTGTCATCATCTTTATTCCGCATTGGCATGAGTTTTACATCATGATAATTTCAAACATTTTCCATAGTTTTACCATAGGATGCATTATTCATAAGTTTGAAGAAATCTTTTTCAAAATCATTAGTAGCTTTTTGACGCATTTCAGTATTAAATTTGATATATGATGCAAGCCAATTAGTTTTCTCAAATGATAAAATTTCATAAACTTCATCTATAACTAAACCCAATTTTACGTAATATTGAAGCTCTAGATAATGTATAACATAATTATCCCATGGGCCAAGATGAGTAACTAATTTATTTGTTGATGAAAATCAATTATTATCTAATTTTTTTATTTGCTCCTTATTATGATAACTAAGCCAATTGTGTTTTACTGGAATATTTTCAATCACTGGTGGTAAATCCTTAAGTTTATCATGAGTGGCTATAGGAAAATGTGCTTTTATTATGTTTATAAAATATCCTCAATGTGCATCAGCATTTGTTTTGAGAATTCTTTTAAGCCATTTATTTTGTAATTCTGGATTACCATTTAAATGTGCCCTATGTTCCTCCCACTTACAATTCCTAATAGGAAGAAGTTGACTCATTGCCCAACCATATAAATTATTTGCATTGACATATGAAATCCATGTAGTTGGTTTAGTTGGATCAAATTCAGTACCCATTTTTGGATTATTGGCTTTAAAATATCAATGACAAGCTAATGAAATACCTCCTCTTTTGGCTTTTTCGATAAAATTGTGCATTGATATATCTGTAAAGAGCTCAATTTCAACTCCAGACATTTTTAACATTGCATCCCATGTTAATGAAACTGTAGATACATAATGGCTTGGATCGAGTTTATATTGTTTCATGGAATTTTTGCAGAATGTATTCCATATATCTGAAAGAAGAAGTACATCTGTTTTTAGGTATAAATAATGGTAATCTCCTAAATTTTTGCAACCAAATGTTTTCCAAATATTTTGTGCTTGCTCATCATATTCTTTTTGTGGTATTTTTCTGCCAAGTTTACTATTAAATTTTTCAATAGGAGGAAGCTCAGTTTTTAAAAATCTTTCAAGAGAATCAATATATTCATAAGGATAAATCCCCTTTTGACAAACCATTGCAATTTGTTCTTTTGTATAATTTTTATAATGTTTTACTGTTATTTTATGTTTTTCAAGTGTCCCAAAGCAACGTTCTTTATCTAATCAATGAAAATGTGAGCATGTTGAATCTTTACATTTTATTGCGCCTAAGTTATTGGCAAGACTTGATAAACTAGAATTCATAAATTGGTATGAATCCATATATTTTATTTGGCCTACTTTCATTGTTTTGTATTGTCCAAAAGTTTCTGCAATAACACAAATTTGATGCACACCAGCTGATTTAGCTACTGATTGGCAAATTAAATGTGAGTCATATCCTCTAAAATTATGAATTATTACAGGAATTGGAGCTTCCATGGTTTAATTTTAAGTTGTAAATTACAATTACTATGGGCTGCTCCACAGAATTTTCCAGTCATATGACAGTGGTCCCAAACCTTTATACCTTTACTACATTCAGTTTTAATATTTTCATCAATTTTTTCAACTTTAAACGTTAATGTTGAAGTATCTTCTTTTTTCTTATACAGTTCTTCTATTTTGTTATCAAGAGAAATGCTTTTTTTTTCTAATTGAGCTATTTTTTCTTCATCTATTCTAAATGCTCCATTGCAAATCCAGCATTTATCTGCATTATCAATTTTTTTTTGATATTCATCATTTATGATTTTATCCACATTTACTGCAAGTACCTCATTTATTTTTTTAAGCTCATAGTCCATTTTTCTTACAAATTCTTCTGTAGCATTAGTACCATGATAAATAAATGGAACTCAGGTTTCTCCAGTATCAATCCAATGAACCAAATAAGCAAAACTATTAGCAGTAACATAGCGGGCTTTATCTGTGATTGGTTGATCCATAAAGAAATTGATTGGATAATTTTATAATATGCCAATCATTATTAAAACTTTCAAGAAAATAAAATAAATATATCTTAGCAATATTTTTTATTTGTAATTGGTGGTAAATAATTCAGCAAAAACATTAGGCGAAAACTCTTACTATAATTACTATGTAATAAAGTACACCTATGGTTTGAAACAGCATATCCTATAACATTGAAAACCAACAAATGTATCATTTACTCACTACTTGATATATTAAATTATTACATAGTTCTTATCTAATGAATGAAAGATATTGAATATTAGATATTGATATATTAAATCTTGAATAAATTATAAATATTATAAATTATAAATATTAAATTGTATTAAATAAATTATAAATATTAAATTGTATTAAATAAATTATATATATTATAAATTATAAATATTAAATTGTATTAAATAAATTATAATTATTAATATTTATAATTTATTCATACATTCTCACCATAGAATAATAACACCATTATAACCAACTCATATCTTCTTTTGGTTCAGTAATCCTTTACATGACATGATTTAGAACTATGAAAATAGTGCAAGAATTATGATTAACGTTTATAAATGTACCTTCTAACAAATTAAATAAAATACAAAAGAATAATTTA